GTTTTAGTAAACAATAAAGAGACTAGTAGGTGATTTGGTAGCATATATTTGATTTTATAAATGAATTAATAAACTTTTGTTTTATAATATAAATAAATATATAGAGAAAAAGTTCCACACATTTAACTATGAATTTTATGTTATAAAAAGAAAGGTAATTTATTATTTCGATAAATATTAATAAGAACACAAATATCATACCCGGTAAAGAACACGATACTGATGAAATGAGGATTGAGAGAGAATGGTGGTTTGCTACTTCTTATTATTTGAAGTTGTAATTGTGTGTTACAAATGGATGAAATGCATCCTTTATATAGAGAAAAAAAACAAAGTAAATAGTGATATGAACTCCAAATAAATTATATTTAACTGTAGGGGTCGGATTCCACCCCGATAAGATCAAACTGGAAAAACAACTAAGTATGAAACCAGATTAGAAACGACTGGTTGACCCGGTTATCCAGTATCCGACGAGGTGGCTTACCGGACGAGGCGGCGGCATGACAATGCTATCGGAACGGCGAAGCTGTGGTGTTANGCCNGTCANGTCTGGAAATGTCACTTGGATGGAAAGACAAGTTTGAAATGAAGTCCACTAGCAGAGCCCATAACGAGACAAGCCAAGCCCAAGACATGGCGAGATGGGCCGAGCAGGTTGGCGCAGCCCACTCCGCGCAGCCGACTTTGAAGATAAGGAAGACTTCCTTATTTTCTATGGTGACTTCATTAACCTAGGACTATATAAGCAAATGTAAACCCTCTTAGAAGGGGATCCACAATTCTCTACACAAAACTCTTGTATTCTTAAGCTTTACAGAAACAGCAATAAAAACCTAACTTCAATCTCTTGTTCTGTGATTTCGNACTTTGAAGACTCCATCNCTCTTGAACCCTAAACAAATCTAACTGTGTGATTCTCGCCGCCACAGTTTGGCGCCGTCTAAGGGGATAACAGAGATCTTCTTACTCAAGGAAATCACCGCACAAGTGGGCCGAAGATGACCGACGAACGTACCGACAACTCCGACCTCAACCGCGTCGACCAGACCGCCGACGATCCCGGCAACAGGGAGGGCGACGCCAACGTTGCTGCAGATATGACGCAGAACCCCAACCAGGCCGCAACGGATGCATCGCTTGCACTGGACGCGATGCTCAAAAGGCAAGAAGACCAAGAGAAGGTGAACGCCTCGGTGAACGACAGACTGGACACCCTCGCTTCGGCGAGCCGAGGCCAAGGCCAAACCACGCTTAGGCGGTTCGGAGAGCAGCTCATCCCGACCAGCCTCTTCTCAACACCTGAGGGTGCGCCAAGAGCTCGGACTTTTCTGCCACAATACACCAGCTCGGAGACAGGCGAAGAAAGCAACAGAGGGCGTACAACCCGACCGCTCGAGAAGAATACGCGTCCTGCTGACGGAACACCATAGGTCGTCAACCTCGACGAGGAAGCGCAACCGAGGTCGATCCAGGAAGACGAACCGACGCGAGACGCACTGCACCAACCGAGTCCCACCCGGTAGAGCGTACTGAGGCGCGCCGAGGTGAAACAACCCGAGGTGGTGAGCAGGGCGACCTCAACGACATCAGCGACGAGGATCTCTACTGGATCCAGCAGCTCGACAACCTACGCGACGAGGCATTGCGTGCCCAGAAAGCTTAGATAGCCGAGATACGCGCCAGGATGGAGCGAACGGCCGAGGACATGAAGGCGGTTCAGTCTCAGATGCACAGGGCTACGAGCAAGGTGCCTCAACTCGATCTAGTGT